CCCAGCATGGGGATTCTGGGACTTGTAATCCATAAAAGAGTAAAACATAAAATATAGTGTAAAAAGATGAAAGGGATGAAAGTACCACCATGGGGATTCTGGGACTTGTAGTCCATGAAAGAGTAAAATATAAAATATAGTGTGAAAAGATGAAAGGGATGAAAGTCCCAGCATGGGGATTCTGGGACTTGTAGTCCATAAAAGAGTAAAATATAAAATATAGTGTGAAAAGATGAAGGGGACGAGAGTCCCAGCATGGGGATTCTGGGACCTGCAGTCCAAAAAGTCTCCAACCTCCCACTGTTCTGATGTGAGGCACCTGGGATGCCTACCTGCCAGTCTCCCTCCTTCCCAGGTGGCTCCCAGCCTCCCCCGTTGGGCCACTAGCCCTCCAGGCCCTTACCTGCCAGGAGCATCGCCTGGGCCACGGCGCTGGCCATCCTCCCTGCGCCAATGAAGCCCACGCGCAGCTCCCGCAGCTTCTCCATCTTCCCGAAGCGAAGCCCTTCTTCTCTGCCTGCTCCCGGCTTCTCCTTCCTCTCTCCCTGGGGGGTCTGCCCCATTCATACCTGGCCCTGAGCCGGGAAGCCAATCGAAGCTGCTCTTTCTTTCGCCGCCTCCCTCCACCGAAGAGAAAGCAGCGCTGATTGGTAAAGACGCGAGTCCCCCTCGCTGCCCATTGGTGGGGTGTCGCCCATTCATCTTCTTCTCCGCCTCTCCGTTCCAAGCGCCCCCTCCCTCGCCTGCTTTCCTGGGATTGGTCGGTGTTTGACGAGAGGAGGGAAAAGGGAGCGGCGGATTGGCTGAGCGGTCTGTGACGTCACCGAGGGTGTTTTTATGAAAGGATTTTGAGGCTGCCTCGCCCGGGAAAGTTTGAAATGCGGCTTTGCGGGAGGAAAGAGGAAAGAGCTGCTGCTGCTTTTGCTTCGGGAGTCTGGTCGGTAGAACCATGTTTCCGGGCCTTTCCTACAGCGTTCGCAATTAATTTCGGGGGATAATTAATTAATTTCGGGGGATAATTAATTAATTAGGGACCATTCATTCATCCATTTCAAATTAATTAATGGACTCCTTTTACATTCATCAATGACCTCCTTTCAAATGAATGAATTCATTCGTTTCAAATTCGTTGAAAAATGAATTAATTTTGAAACATCCATCCATTCATTCTTTACACAGAAAAATTAATTACCTCATTTCTAATCAATGAATGAACTCCTTTTAAACCAATTGGTCAACGCATTTCAAATTGATCCATTGGTTTTTCCCCAAAAAAATTAATTAATTAATTTTGACGAATCTGTTCATTTCAAAGAAAACGAATTTCCTCGTTTGAAATTAATTAATGAACTCCTTTCAAATTAATTAATTGATATTGAAAAATGAATTAATTTTGAAACATTTGTTTATTCATTACACAGAAAAAAATTAATTGGTACCTCATTTCTAATTAATGAATGAACTTCTTTTAAACCAATTGATCAACTCATTTCAAATTAATAGGATTGGTTTCCAAAAAAATAATTAATTAATTTTGAAAAATTCATGCATTTAAAAAAATGAATTGCCTCATTTCAAATTAATTGATGAACTCCTTTCAAATTAACTGATTGATTTTGAAAACATAATTAATTTCAAAAAAACCATTCATTCATTCATTAAAAAAAACCCTAATTAACCTCATTTCAAATTAATTAATGAACTCCTTTCAAGGAGGGGTGGTTGCTATTGTCATTCTCTGAGGCTGAGAGAGTGTGACTTGGTTGATCCAGGACTTAAACCTTGTCTACAGAGACACAATCCAATGCTCAAACC